TAATCCAACCCTGAACAATAAAACGTTTATTCGTTTCATTCGTTTTTGTACTGGTCGTTTGAATCTTCCCATTGATGTTCAGAACTGCAATTGATCAGTCTCATTATATTAGTAATAATAATAATAATAATAATAATAATAATAATAATAATGGACCGATCAGTTGCAGTCTTAAACATCGATGTTGAGATTTAAATAAACAATACTAAGGTCAAATGAACTTCACCCGATTGCACAATCTGGTGGCTATTCGCACTCAGTAGCTAAGTGCAGAACGTGATGTTGTTTGAAGAGATTGGTGCTGGATTGGAGTCCTGTACCGATCTTCATCTCCGAGACGTAGGTACAACCAACTAACCAGTCCCAAATAGAATGAAGCGCGATTCCTGGATTCCGCTGCTAGTCATCATCATCATCATCATCATCATCATCATCATCATCATCATCATCATCATCATCATCATCATCATCATCATCATCATCATCATCATCATAATCTCTAAATATTATTAATCTCACTGACAATAATAACGTTTTAATACCTTGTCATCTTGAAAAATAAGTATATATTTGTGATTGTACAGCTTCGAAATTGAATTTGTAGAGAAGAGAACTCTTCACTGAACCAATCCCCCCACTTTATGTGTCAGTCGATGAATTCCGTCTAACTGACAATTACTGACATAAATCTGAATATTTTACACAAACAATAGTGGTGAGTATCATACTACTCGTGAGGAACTATATATTTGCATGTACCTATTTCACAAATAACTCGTCAAGAAGGTATCAAAAGAAATTAAGTCAATTGAAAAATTGGATAACGAGACTGATTTCCTCTCCTTATTTCTCTTTAAATGAACAACTGCTACTATTTATCAGTGGCATTATTTTTCATCTCACCTAAATGGGAGACTTCAATCAATCATTCTGTACCCTACTCACATCCATCATCGCATCCGAACGACACAATTCTATTCTATTCATTCATTTTGATAATCCATACACAACCTGTATTACAAATCATGAAATCATTCTCTATAACAATTGAGTGGTTTGCGAATGATTGATCAGTGTGAAAGGTGAGATGAAAGGTTGAACAGTTAGTGAAAGTGTGGAGATTAGAACAGGTATTTGATTTCAGTTGAGATTTTCGTGGTGATAAGTAAAGCTGTTTTACGTACTTGTGAAGAGTCGGAAATTAATCATATTTCTGGCTTTGTATTTTATGAAATCAAGTAAGTACAATCAGTTAGTTGAAACCAATCTCAGACACCAAAGTTCATTTTCGTAAATGAAAGTTTAAAGGAAATGTGACTCAGAAGATTCAGTGAACTGACGTGTCAGTTCAAACGAGCAGATTATTATCTTACTAATTGATCTTGAATATAACCGCTCAGTGGAGACCCACGCACATGAATGAATTGTATAAACGTCACTAACTGTATAATCTGTATGAACTTTACTCCCAGTCTATCGTTTGCGTCAGTTTTATTTGTGCATCATTCATATCTTGTTTTGTTGATTGTACTTCCAGACAAACGTGTTTGATGTCAACGTGAAACAGAATATTTAAACAAATAAATAAGCATGACATTGATTTATTCATTGAAACAATAGTAATCAAATTCAGATTTATTTGAAGCAAAAACAGAAGAAGAAAATTGATTTAATTATTTTGGAACGGATGAGCTGGTGAAAATGGTAAACAACCCACAAATATGTGTAGGTCAACATCTCATAACTTTCTTTTATATTATACCACCAACTGAAATAATTTCTAACAATGTAAAAGTACCGTATGCAAGGTTAATCATAACAGAATAGTGAATATTTCTTGGTTCATTTAATAAGTTATGTTGCATAAACTCAACATCGTGAACTCCAGTTCTGGTGTATCGTGATGAGCTTTGTTATCGTGTTAGCGTATTACTGTAGTATTTCTAAGAGAGAAGTACATTTTAAATCGTACGTTATACCAAATAATAACCAAGTATTACTGCCAGTACTAATACAAACACTGCTATTTTAACCATTTCCAGCCCTACACTGCTAAAATCATACAACAATTTGAATTTCTAAATCAATGATACGCATGAAAACAGTTTCATATCAATTCATAATGCAGGAAATCTTAAGCGTTATTAATGATAACAAGTGTATTAGTTGTAATAGGTATTATAGCACGTAGATAACATGTACGAATATTTTCAAAAATTAAGCAGATTTATCTTAATTAAATAATAATCAGTGAACATCTTACAATAAGAAGTTTGTAAATAATAAGTTCACTTCCGTACGTGGCGACGAAGAGATATGGAAGGATTGAATAACAACAATTAACATGTGAAATAGAATTAGTAATACCATCTAGTTTTTATGTTTCCTTTGGTCACAGAATAAACGAAGGCATTAAAATTTGCTTTTCTATACAAAGACTGTGGTTGCTAGCTTTCGCTATACATAAGAAATGTGATCGATTCCCACTGAACTCAATGTATAGAGAATATGTTTGGCTTAAAGTATATCTGGTTTCTTGAAAACAATTTATCAACACTCAATAACCGTAAACTGATATCATTTAGTCACTTGGTCACTTTTTTTACTGGTAGTCATCCACATGTGTCCAAATCTAAGCTTCAAACATTTTGTAATCTGATCAATGAAAGACTTCTCACAAATAATGTTTATTATAGGATAGAGGGAACTCCATTCGTTTGTTATTATTTTATATCTAATCTTTTGATTAGGAACTTTTGCAAAAGAACAAACTTATGTCTTACCATTTTCAGGGCAAAACATATATAAGTATTAAGTAAAACGAAGTTTTGACTGAATTATGGTTTCTTGCTTAGCAACTTAAAAAGGTGGTTGTCATTGTACGGTTGTATCACTTTCTGAACTGAAAGATCTCCAATTTCAGTTGAAAATGTAAGCACAACGTTTAAAACTATTTGATTATGGATGTGAAATGCATAATGACAAGTTTCAATTTGCACACTAACTGGTTAGTTGAACAACGTGAATTGATACTAAACGTTCAGTTACTTTCATTTATATTTCTCTTTTGATAACTAAAATAACCCATAGTGTCATTGAATAAGAAAAAGAGAATTCAGCGAAGAAAATTTTCTTTTCGACGAAATCATTTACTTAAGCTGTACATTCGTATACATAGTTATATGAAAAAAATTTATGTCTATTGGAGGATAGAAAAAATTTTGCATCACCAAAATGGATTCGAGGAAAATAACAAATGGGGTTACGTACTAATCAGAGGGTAAGGAAGAAAATCGTTTATAGGTCAGATAATAGTCCAATTGACAGGTATGAAAGAAAGCGACAAACGCAAAAGTCATAATAATAAACTGAATAATAATCATGAAAACTTGTATAAGGTAATAATAATAATAATAATAATAATAATAATAATAATAATAATAATAATAATAATAATAACTGATCAGAGTTTAAAATACAAAATAGTAATTTAAAGAAGTTTGATAATAATCAAATAAAAGTGCAGCAAAGAAAAAAAACCGAAACATACCTATCAAGGGAATTAGGGCCAAGGAAGGATGAGAGGTTGGACAAATCGTTTCTGCACGCAAAGTTCGGGCCTGAGTTCGTGAATCGCCAGTGCCTCAGCAGTGCATAATATATTGATTCGATACCCCTTCGATCCAATTCCTTTGATTCTGTAGATCACTTTAACAGAAGAATACTTGGGAGCGGTGTGTCCGAAATTGATTGAATGCTCCTGTATGGAACTAGTGATTGTCTTACATTTTCCTTTTAAAAGCCATTCCGGATAGTGTTCTGAGATGCGTTTGGACAGTGATCGCTTTGTTCGGCCTATATAACGAGCCCCACATGAGCATGTAAATTTATAAATACACATAAATTTTCCATATAACTATATATACGAATGTACAGCTTAAGTAAATGATTTCGTCGAATAGAAAATTTTCTTCGCTGAATTCTCTTTTTCTTATTTCTCTTTTATTATTCAATTGCAGTTGTCAGATTTCCACTTCAACCAGTGCTATTGAGAACATACAGACAGTAGGGATGTTATGAATTCGGTATTAGAGTAGAACCAATGCGATATGGTGTAGTAAAAGTAAGAGACTTGTTTCATTTGTTATTGTCTGGATTATGCTGATGATGATATTTTGACAATGTTTTGATCGGTCATCTTGGGTATTTGGGCGTCCTGTCCTGGTTACCTCCATAGAAAAGATTGATTAACAACCAGTCAAAACGTCAACAACGGGATAATCCAAACAACTACAAATGAAATAAAAATTCATCCCCATCACAAAAATGAATAGCTAACGGGACTCAGTAATTATGTGAATAACACGTTTGACGTCCTAAGAGAAAGTTAACGGGTTTGTATGTTCATTAACTTATCAACTACTGATGAGATTCGTTCCTGTTCCTCTCCAAAGTATGCCTAAGATTTATTTGTTAAAATCCAAACCATATTTGAAACTGAGAAAGATACTTTTGGAAAACCTAATGCTAAAAACTTTACAATGCTCAAAAGAACTCTACTTCAATGGAGAGACATTACTAATGTCGAGACAACCAACACTTGAATACATTTTTACAGTGAATCATGTAATCGTAAGTTGAAGAAAGAAAATCATTGAAATTTTCATTGGTCCACATATTACTCAAAATCAATTGGTTCAGTGTCTCAATGAAAATATCACACTAATGAATAAAAGAACTCAATTGCCTAACATTTATCGTGATCATTCTTACTTCTGATATAACCATTATTATTATTACGAATACTATTTTTACCAACAGTAGTGCTAAAGTTACATAACAATATGTTTACTAGGAATAAATCAACAATGAGAAACTTTTGTTCAGTTTCTACGATAATCGCATTTACACTCCTCTTATTTATCCTTACACAAATATATTTGATAAATTTCAATATTACACACATCATTGTACAAAAACATACTTACGAAGAGTGTATCATGTCGAATACAACATGTACTGGATGTAAACACATATGTCGTACTATTTGCACGAATATTGATAGTATTCCATCGAGTAAGGTGAGTGCATTGAAACCAACTGGGAAAATGCCATTCAATGGTGAATTCAATGAAGAGGTGAATCCAATCAACGACACATTTTATTCACATGATCTTGGTGGCGGTTGGATGTTTAAGGAGGAGACGACGAATTGCAACGACGTTCCACAATCTGGTGCAGCAATCATCATTGTTTGTAGAGATAGATGGAAACAACTGAATAATACATTGTCCGCTCTGATTCCAGTTCTCCAGAGACAACATTTGTGTTATCGAATATTTGTTATTGAACAACAGGGTACTGGTATTTTGAACAAAGCTCAGTTGATGAACATTGGTTTTATTGAAGCACGTAAACGTTTTGATTTCAACTGTGTTATATTTCATGATGCCGACTTAATACCATTGGATGATAGAATACCACATGGTTGTGATGAAGAGACGATGGAGAGTGTGGTTCATTTGAGTGTTGGAGTGAGTTCATGGACTTGTGTTTTACCTTACAACTCATTGATCGGTGGTGTTTTGAAAATAATAGTTGTAGACCAAAAGACATCTGAAGTGAGAATATGTTGTCTAATGTATTAGCGCAACTTTCGCATTTTTATAACTATAGTAGTATATATAACGTTTCTCACTTTTTTGATCCTCTCTTCCTTTGTTAAACGCGATAACTAATTTGTGAATGTTTGTATTCGACTTCTGTATACATATCTGCTGTCAAACACTGATTAATGTAAGATTTACTATCTTACACTGTATATGTTTGAAATTTGATATTTGTCGAACAAACTGGTACCTGATTCATTTCTTGTTGAATGTTAATTTCAGTTTCTAATAAAAAGATGAATTTCCTGTAATCAACTTCGCTGTTGTATAGATATTTGTATACAAAGAGTATTTTCAACTATTTTGCATTGTTTCCTAACAATAATAACTCGAATAAAACAGTCGAAATGACTATGAGAGATTTTACTTATGAAAACGACATGAAATTGTATCATTATTTGTGCTTGATATTTAACAGAGACAGTTACTAAGTGATGTACAGATAATAAAGAGATCGAAGATTTCATTGTCCCAACAATAGCTTCAGGTTAGTTGAACGGTGTTGAATTTCTTTGGAGATGAACTTTAAAAGCTATACGTGATCAGTGCACTATTGTAGTGAACAAGAATACCAACGGGGACAATCGAATGTATTTAACAACAAATTACAGAGCATCTCAATAAAATCTGAGAAACATATATTAAATCGTTAATTTACAAATTGTTCATCAATTGTCTCAAATGACTCAGAATCCCTTTGTTCTTGCATTTTCATACTAATTGCATTCTTTCTTCATTCTTTGTTGTTCGACCTTCTCGTCTCTCTGCTGCCAGATATTCTGTTCATGACTCACATCATATACTACTTATGTCTACATAAGTAGCACACTCCACACTATGACACAGGTGTGTCAATCATACCAGTAGAATAAACAGGTGGTGTGGTAGAACTGAGTAATTACTTGGTCTCATTAAACATGTAAAGAGGAACTGAGACAATATACATTAGCTTAGTGGTGATGTCTCCGAAAATGGTCCAAAGTAATCATTGCTCGAAACTCATGGAAAGATCCATTCTTACGAGTTTGAAATAGGAGGCAAACTATGTTCATGACTATCAGCTAATTGGCACGTAGATGTAGTTAAATTAGCAGTTGTGGTAGCAGTAGTGATAGTGTTCGTAGTCGTAGTAGTAGTAGTAATGATATTAGTGTGGTGTATGCTACTGATAGCGACAGATGTAGTAGTATGTATCACTAATCGAAAGTGGAATACCTAGTTGTAGAAGGTTGAGAAAATCGAAGAGAAGAGAACGACTACAGAGAGTGATTAGCATGGAAACGAAAGAAGAAAAAGTATGAGACAATTGATGAATAATTTGCAGATGAATTATTAAATGTATGGTTCTCACATTTTGCCATGACATTGTGTGGTGTTACGTTTAAATGCGTTTGGATGTCCGCAACTTGTGTTGTTCTTCACTACAGCAGTAGAATTATCAGTTATATTTTGTACTTGTTTGTTTACAGAAAATAATTTTTAAATTTTTTGCACATTTAATCACTAAGAGTTTCAAGAAAAATTCCAAAGATACTTAAAAAACACTTGATAGATATATAAACGTTCCATTACTTCATGTACACAATAACCCATAATACGCTTCAATTTGTCACTGGACACAATGATCATCAAGAGATTGGATTTGTGGTCAATACATATTTTCTTATTATATCACTCTCATTCATATACATATATCAATACTCTACATGCTATTTATTAACTGTATGTTCAATAACAGAACTGAAATATCTACACACCCACACACTATTGAATTAACACAACATAACTTATTAAATGAACCAAGAAATATTCACTATTCTGTTATGATTAACTTTGCATACTGTACTTTTACATTGATAGAAATTATTTCAGTTGGTGGTATAATATAAAATAAAGTTATGAGATATTGACCAACACATATTTGTGGGTTTGTAGTGACCTACTTTTGTCAAAAGAACGCGATTGGTTCGATGAAAACAATCATTATTATAACCAATTGCACCAGTGATTGTTTTACTGTGCTCGTTTGTTTAACTGTTCTAATGACAGCCATTTTGGCCTTCCATTGGACTCCATTACTTCTGCGCGGTTTGTGACTCTACCCACGTACTTTCTCCTACCGATCCCACTTGTACTCCTTTTGGCACGATCTCGGTATTCTTTCGATTTCACGAGATCGCCAGCAAATATATCTCAACTACAGCCATCATCTGTCTTCTGATATTGGCCTACGGAAATGTTATTGGTTTACTGGCACGTAGTGTTGTAGTGGTGTTCATAATCAAGCGCTATTCGACACCACGCTACAGGTTGTTTACCATTTTCACCGACTCTTCTTTTTCAAAATACTTGGATCGATTTTCTTCTTCTGTTTTTGCTTCAAATAAATCGGACGTTTATTAATATTATTATTACTAATTCAATGAATGAATCAATGTCATGCTTATTTATTTGTTTGAATATTCTGTTTCACGTTGACATCAAACACGTTTATCTAGAACAACAATCGAAGTACATACAGATTACACAGTTAGTGACGTTTATAAAATTTATTCATGTGCGTGGGTCTCTACTGAACGGTAATATTCAAGATCAATTAGTAAGATAATAATCTGCTCGTTTGAACTGACACGAATTGCAACAACGTTCCACAATCTGGTGCAGCAATCATCATTGTTTGTAGAGATAGATGGAAACAACTGAATAATACATTGTCCGCTCTGATTCCAGTTCTCCAGAGACAACATTTGTGTTATCGAATATTTGTTATTGAACAACAGGGTACTGGTATTTTGAACAAAGCTCAGTTGATGAACATTGGTTTTATTGAAGCACGTAAACGTTTTGATTTCAACTGTGTTATATTTCATGATGCCGACTTAATACCATTGGATGATAGAATACCACATGGTTGTGATGAAGAGACGATGGAGAGTGTGGTTCATTTGAGTGTTGGAGTGAGTTCATGGAATTATGTTTTACCTTACAAAACATTGATCGGTGGTGTTTTGAAAATATCGACTTCACACTTTATGCAGGTTAATGGTTATTCGAATAGTTATTGGGGTTGGGGTGGAGAGGATGATGATTTGGAGAGGCGACTGAGAGCATCAAATAATATGTGTAAACACATTGAAAAGCCAATAGGCAGATATTTTGCTCAACCTCACACTAAACAGGTTCGAGGGAATAGATGTTTAGTACTTCATTTATAATAAAAATACCGCCAGTCGTGACAATAATAATAATTTATTCTCAAACAACAGTCTGTTACATGAGACTCGTTAATTTACAGGCAAGATCAAATTGTTAGAGAAGATGCAGTTTTCACTGTGCTAGGTTACTCAGTTAGTTTGATATTTTATAAGGTACATTGATCGTAAAAGTATGGGGGATAATACTTCTCACATATCAATGCAAATATCATTAGTAAAATCCGTATTGTCAATGTGACAGTTGGCGCGCTTCATGGAGGTTACGTTGCGACATGCAACTGATAGTTGGGCTTAAAACCACGTAGATTTGTGATCTTTTATAAGCCGTGACCCTATATCCCTCTGGGACAACTGTGGCATTGATGATGGCACAGGATGAATTCACCCGCTCCATATGCGTTATCGGTGGCACATCTTGAGAAGGCTGTATAGGAGGGTAAGAAAAAGAAGATACGAGAAGCAAAACAGACAATTTTTATGCATATTGAAATTCGTGAACGTGGTTCAAAAAGAAGCTGAATGTATAGGATTTTGTGAAGTATTATAATATAGTACTGAAAACGGTATTCTGATACACACATGGCTATCTCCCTTCCTTGTCGAAGTCGTTTCATCTCATTCTTATTTTTATTGATTTTATAGGGTCATGAGCAGGCCTCGTCATTAGCAAGTTGATTGGTTTTGTTTGTAATAAGATTACTCGGTGGGAAGTGTAACAGATTCATCGTCACAAACACGATCTAAAAAGGCATTTTGTTTAATGGGTTACCATTAATACCATTAGTTCTGTTATCCCACGTGACCATAAGAAGCCGTAATTTAGCAACATGTTCTGCCCTACAAACATTTGGTGGATCGAAGTTATATCAACACCATGATGTTTTCTGGTCAGCAACATCGCCCTCCCTCCTTTCGTGATTTGATTCTCTCTTACGTTTGTCTTGTGTGCGAAGAATTGGGATAACAAAGGTTATCAATAATAACTATATATATGAGTGTGTAAGAACAGGTCGGAGGTCATTCGGTGTTAGAATCAAGAAACATGACTTGTGGGTGATGTAATAATTGAGTGGAGTTCAGAGACAGATAAGATGAGTTGTGTGATGATTTAAGAGGTAATGAAGGGTTTGCACAAGATTCCTAGAATTAAAAAACTGGTAAGATGAGTTGCGTAATAAATAAACAAGATTTGATGAGTTCGCGTTATTTAAAAGAATTGAGTGAGTGGAAATGTATGAGTGAAGCGTGGTGGTTTAAATGTACATAAAATAAGAATTCGATAATTAAAGCGAAATATAACAAACTAAACATCAATAAAATAAAACCAACGATCAAAAATTGAATTATCAGGGTAGGACAAGGTTTATTACTGAATATTTTTGAATACATATATTAAGTTTGAGTTTTTATCGCAATCGCTCTAGCAAAGCGAGGAGAAGAGGTGTTTCTCTGTCTGCTAATAATTTTAAAAGCATGAGGAATGTCAATGGTATGCTCAGTGCCAAGTGAATGCCGAGCTATTGCATTGTTAAGATACCCTGCCCCTCACAGTCTCAATTTCTTTGTAACATGCTCGGAAATGCGGACATATACTTTTCTCTCGGTTCTTCCATTGTATGTGCTTTGTCACGTACAAGTAAATTGGTAAACGCAGTTGGAGCTACTGAGAAAAGAGGACCTGTCAATTCTAGTTTATTTGAGAGAGTAGTCCGTTTGCCATAGCGTCGTCAGTTTTGCTGATGTGTCGGTCACCTTCAACGCGGAATTTATCCTGTGATTAATTATTCCAGTGACCTCATCTCCTTTGAAGAGTAAGTATAAGAAGCAGGTTTTCTTTTCCACCACAATGCAAAATTTTAATACATATTTGGTTGTAATCAATTGATGGGATACCACGAAATGTGATGAACTCATATTATTCTGGGTCCATGTTCGTTGTGGCTTTATTTAAGTTATCGCTATACCCATACAATAATGAACCTTAAAGTAAAACTTCTATCTTTATTACATGTCTTTGTCTTGCTGTTCGGAGCTAAAGAGTAGGAGATTCGAGGTATCTGGAAAACGTCCAGGCAGTCAGTATCAAGTGTTCGACTCGCAGACCCATTAATATTTTACAGTGAAGTCACATTTTAGTACATTTGAAAAGTGAAGAACAATCAAAAGCTGGAAGGGAGTTTTGTCGTATTTTAGAATCGTTGTCTGTATGCGTCTGCATCCCAGTATTGTTGTTCATAGTGACGCGAACCCGAGGTATTTTATTTTACACGGTAACCCAATAAACGCTAATCCATGGGTCCAGATAGTCACCAAATCGTTCAACGAGTTCGCAGATATAAGTTTTTGTCCATCATTTTGGGACTGACATTGATCAGATATTTTGCCACACATGACCGTCCGAACTTGGTAATTTAAATGGTAATGTGTTGGTGTTTGAAGAGATAGTCAGTGGGTTTGAGTCTCAGTGAATACATCAATATTGATATGTAAATGAACCCAGCTGACGCGTCTCAAATACGACGAAATCCTCATCCTGGATTCCACTGTCTATAATCTGTTTTATTAACGACAAAATGGACGTTGATTGTATATTTCAGAAGTAATTCTTTGAGACGAACATCCGGAATTCCAATATTGATCATTTTACAAGTAGTTGTTGGCACACAAACTCAATAGTCTCAGTTATTGATACATTGGTGAACATGGAAGCAAAATCTAGAGATATCGCCTGTTTCCCATTTAATTATGTATGTTTCACCTTGGAAATGAAATCGAAAACGTCTTTAACGCCTCATGTGACGACTACGTTGTGCAGAAGATCTAGGATTTGAAGTAATCCCTTTGCAGTTTTATGGTATAGTGAATTATGTGTATCTAAAACTGGACGAAGTGGAGGTCTTGACTTGGGAAATTTTGGTAAAAGATAGAGTCATTACGTGCACAATCCTGTGGTTCAAGTGACCGTTTATTTTTTCACCTCCTCCCACCTATTTTTTTCCAAAGATACGCTTGTTTGTCCAAATATCTGAACTCTTCTAATTGTGTAATCTTACAGTATTCTATGGATGCTATTTCAGCCTTTTAAGTCATTGATCTATTGCCCACTGTGAAACATGGATTCAATCCTTTGGTATTCTCATCACAACTAATACACCTGTTATCACACAATCAATTTATACTCTTTGAGTATTATGTTTGATTATGTAATCCATTCAAATGCTATCAGTGACTCATAAACTACCCTGCTTGGTTTGATAATTACATATTTGCACATAAATATTACTGTATATTAGAAAAAAGCATTATTAGGATCCGAATGACAACAATACATGAATTGTCTGGGTACAAACTATGCATCCATTTATCAGCGTTCACTGTTTTTGCAGTTTCAAGGATTTCCTGGCAAATTTCCGTTCATTGAGTGGGTGAGTATTAAATGTAAAAGAAGAATATTCGTTAGGGATTTCATTCCTTGCACTAAATTCCACATTATTGGCTTTTTTCATCTGACAAGTTAACATGCACAACAGTGGTCTGTTCACAAAAGAGAGATATAAACGTAAATACAACACTTTACATATAGCTGACGAGAACCAAACTAAATAAAATGAATTCATATTAGTCTGCTCAAAATTCACTTCTTAATCTCTTCAAGATGATAAAGAGAACTATGTCCAAGATGTTGACAGCCATAGATGGTTGAAATGAAACACCCGGTGAAAATTATTCTGTAACATTGACCCACTAGATGTACAGAAACATGTCCGAAAACTCTGGATTCTGCACTTTCTTTGATCATATTTGCATGTCAATGTATGCAACAACCGAAGTTTTTCATAGACAGAAATTCAACCACGAAACACATGTACGCTAAATTGTCACTGATTTAATAATTGACAAATATCAGAACGAGGAAGATTGACGTGTCCAAACTGTTGTTTTATTCACGTAAACGAATCGCCATTGACAATCGAACAAGGATTGGGAAACAAAAGCATTTGTAAAGTGATGGAATAAACTGAAGAAATCAGTTGTGCACAAAATTTACAATTAACATATCACAAAGTTACGCTACTAATCAGATAGCAACTAGTTGATCTCGTCGAAAGCAAACGTCACAAACGAGTTGATGACAATATTTCTGCCCATCAACTCACATATACCAATCTCATCACTTGATGTAATTAGTTCAAACTAAATTAGTTGAATAAAGGATACGTGTGAGGCATATGCAATTAATCAACTAACTGGTTGTAGTCAACTGATAACTCGTAGACAAAAGGATATCATGGCAATTGGATCCCCCCTTAGTCCATTACTCAAGCATAAATTGTCTCATTTAACCGACTCTATGTGCACTTATCAATCCACCTGATCATGTGATGCAAGGTACTTTATCCAAGTGAATTCAAGAACATTGTCTGGATTGGTTAAAGTGAGGTGGAAACAGATCGATAGGGAGCGCAATGATAGAACACCTCGAGAACACAGGTATCAAAAAAAGTGACAAAGCCTCCTATTCTACCGTGTTCTTAATTTCACATAATTTTATTTCTTCTTCATATTTATCTGCCTCACAGCCATCTGATTTCTTTCCTATCTTCTCCATAAAACTTTTATTCCCAATTGGTTTATTTCTGTTTCTATTATCCTCCCCACCACACTTCATCACAATTCCAGTAATAATAATAACAATAATAATGAGAGACCGATCAATTGCAGTCTTAAACATCGATGTTGAGATTTAAATAAACAATACTAAGGTCAAATGAACTTCACCCGATTGCACAATCTGGTGGCTATTCGCACTCAGTAGCTAAGTGCAGAACGTGATGTTGTTTGAAGAGAGTGGTGCTGGATTGGAGTCCTGTACCGATCTTCATCTCCGAGACGTAGGTACAACCAACTAACCAGTCCCAAATAGAATGAAGCGCGATTCCTGGATTCCGCTGCTAGTCATCATCATCATCATCATCATCATCATCATCATCATCATCATA